CCCTGTGTAAATGACATCACCAAGCCTTACTCAAGATCTATTTCAAGTCAGGATGAAAATGCAGCAATCTTGCATCCAGCTTTGGACCCAGGAAGTGCTCTCTCTCTTTTTTTTTTTCTTCTTCGAGACAGGGTTTCACTGTGTAGTTCTGGCTGTCCTGGATCTTGCTCTGTAGACCAGGCTGGCCTCGAACTCACAGAGCTCCGCCTGTCTCTGTCTCTGGAGTGCTAGGATTAAAGGCGTGCGCTCCGCGTGTGCACACGCCCCCCCCCCCCAGTCCTCAGACCTCTTTATATCTGGGCCACCTGTGGGAAAGTGCCAGCCACTCTGAGGGTGGGCCTCCCTCCTCAATTAAACCTCTTTGGAAATGGTATCTCCCAGGTGGCCCCATATCTTTTCAGGTTGACAGCCACATTGCCATCATATGCACATACATACACATGGACACATATGCACAGACTCACATCCCTGCACACACAGGCTTATACATACACATATATACATGCATACACATATATCTAGACTTAAACCTGTGTATATGCAGACTCACACGTGTTCATACATACATTCACATGCAGACACATACATAGATTAACATCCATGCATACATACATACACTTATACACACACAGACTCACATATTATACATATATACTTGCATATACAGGCATATGCATTAGACTCACATCCATGTGTATATAAACACAGACTCACAATACACTCTCACATGTATATATACATATATGCCCAGCTTCACGCACACACACGCACACACACACACACACACGCACACGCACACGCACACACACACACACACAAACATTCAAATGCCCAGAAGCATGTGTCTACGTACATATACACACATGTACCTACCCATACATAGACCCTCACTTTTTTGTTTGTCTTCTGAGGCAGGGTCTTATTGTGTAGCCTACAGTGGCCTTGAACTTGAGGTAATCCTCCTGCCCTGAGTACACACTCTTACTCCATGTACCCTTCCTTGCCTTAAGGTGGAGTGAGTCCAGTAAAGATCAGAAAAAGAAATGGAGGCGTAAGAGACCAGGAATAATTGGCAGGAGGGTGGACACCCTGTCCCCTGGTTTGGGCCTTCCCTGGATGCCTGTCCTCACGGGGCTGTGACCTCTTGAGCAGGGTTCTGAAAGCTTCCCTGATATAACCCCGTGGCTTTGCTCTATGAAGAAGGATGAGGTGTGAAACTCTAAGCCCTGGGGCTCCCCACCAGGGAGTCACTGGGTCAGTGAGGTGGGGAGACTCTTCACACCCCCTCATGGTTTGGATGACTTTGCTATGCAGAAGTGGGAGGTCTAGCCAGGAAGGGAAGCCCATCGGGACTTGGCCCCTGCTCCCCGGCCTGAGGTGCCTCCTTTGCTGAGTAAAGCAACAGGAATTTGAAGCTGTCAGGCCCATGGTCTTAGGTGGCTGGGTACTGCCTCCAAGAAAGGATGGGCAGCAGCTGAGGAGCAGGAAAGTGGCATCCCTGGTCCCAGTTCTTCAGAGCCCCAGGCAGGCTCTGGTAGCCTGTGCCCGTCCCACTGTGTCCCTGTGGATTGGTGATCTGTGGACTGAGTCCGTATAAAATACAAAGACTGCCCCAAACCCAGAAGTACTGACATGACCTCAAAGTAATGAGCCCACTATGGCCAAGAGACAGATGGGTCAGTACAGGGCATATGGTAGGGCTTCTACCCACCCCTGCCCAGACTCTATGTGCCTGATGACCTCCTCAGGTTCTGACAGAATAGACTTGTACCTAGGTTAAGGTCTCCTTTGGCCTACAACCCCACCAACCGAAGCCTCAGGAGGTCAAGGGCTAACAGAGGAGGGGACCAGAGGCTTGAACAGAGCGTTTACCGAGCATTTCCCATTTAATTCTCAGATGAGGTCTGATGCCAGGTGATGGGCAGAGGGGAATCAGGCTTGGTGATCTGGAGGCTCCCCCACACGCTGGGTGGGGCTGGGAGCCAGTGAACTTGAGTTCTGATGGTAGACGAGGAAACTGACTGGGAGGCAGAGGTCCCCTTCTTTGTCATGAAGTCTTCCTATGAGCAGGGTCAGGTCACTCACGGCTGTCACGGGCTGATCCGAGCCTGATGCCAGATGCCAGTCCCAGGGTACAAGAAGAGGTCACAGCGAGGGACAATGAGCTCATCTGGAGAATCAGTCTTAGGGTGGTGGCGTTGGTCAGTGACAGATACATGTAAAGTTGCTGGGGTGAGAATAAGGGAGGGTGCAGTCTGGGGGTGCTGAGAAGTATGCCTTATCTTGCAGTATAGGTTGGGGAGGAGCCAGTCTTGGCACAAGTGGCCTCAAGGAGCAAGGCAGAGGAGGGAGGTGGTGGCATGGGTGGGCAGGTGGTGGGGTAGGTGCTGGAAATATTGGGTAGAACCGTCCTGAGATGGGGGAAGAAGCAGAGGAGGGCCACAGGCAGGAGGGTGCTGTGAGCTGAAGAGTCTGGGGGTCTTCCTGGGGCCATGAGGTCTTGGGGACACAGGAGTGGGGAAGATGTGACTAAGGGAGTGTGATTTGCTGTTGTGTGTGTGTGTGTGTGTGTGTGTGTG